ATGAACTGATTTCCTGTTAAGGCGTCGTGGAGGTGGTGTGATTTCGGGGATATATCTACATGTTACTTTGATAGAGCATTAGGGTTTATAGAATGTTGTTTCATGATAATATGTTCATGTTGATATACATAGATATCGAACCCGATTGTAGAACAAAGGAATATCAATAGCACAGATGAGACTTCTTCATTATCTAAAAAGGATAATCTCTCGAATTTCTGCTACATGTAATGTAATTCTCAGCACGAAAGTATATTGCAAGATGATGATGATAGAAGTGAGTGATAATATGTCTGCCACTTGATCCTCAAGACGAGCTGGAGTGTATGACGTTCCTCGTTTCTTACGTCCAGGCACACAAGGGTCGCGAATAACGGTCATGCAGGATGATCTGTTGCGTCTCCACGAAGCTAAAGTCACTCATACAGGGTGATAGATGAGACGAAGAAAAACAGATGCGACGACTGTCGATCCCACTCGCCTTCCGCTTAGAGACATGGCTTGCAAATGGATGGCTGATGCCCTGCATTGACCATGCTCATGAGCATCATCATGGTTATTACTATTTATTACTATATCAACAACCCATCCGAGATAGGCAATGAACAGACAGATCTTTCAATGTCGGTGTGCCTGACCTAAGACAGGACCTGCAGTGCACATCTGCTGGCTTATATCAGTGACGAACACCCAATACAGAAGAGCAAAGCCACATCCTCGAACAAGTGGCACACCGAACTGAAACGAGCTAATGCAACTACTCTGCCACGCGGTGATCCTGTTCCCGCCAATGTAACATAGACAAAAATAAGTGTTTGGATTCAACTATCGGAGGCCTTCGGGAGCTAAGAATACATCATAGCACCACAGATGAAGATTGTGAGATGAACACAGCGAGGCCTGGAATTGACGGCGTGGACTGTTTCCATCTTGAACCTGAGAAAGTCAACTTTTTTCCAAGTTATCCTCGTTTCCTGCTGGGCTGCAATAGTAAATATACGTGACTTTCCCTTTAATTTTCCTGTTCTGATACTGTCAATGCTGTCAGCATCTATGATGCAGCTTAGATCGCCCCTCCTTTCGCCACGTTTATGTGGATTAGTGGGGGATCCCGATGGCTTATGGGGCTAGGAACTCAAATCCATCATGAGTTTCTTCGTCGGGTCGTAGGCAAGTAAACTAATTCTAGATGTCTTGGGCTTCCTATAGTAAGCATAGTAAGCAGTCAGAGTCCACTGTGGCGCTGCCAGCATGTGCACAGGTGGGGAAGGAAGCCAACCATCATCTAGCTGGCTGTTATATTTTATTCGCGGGTCCAGTAGGGCTGTGTTTGGTAAATAACAATGATATCATTCGAGGTAATAATGCATGCTACTAGAACAGGTCATTGTCTCTGCTACAAGGCTATGCTACACCAACTGCTTGGTTCCGAGCCCAACTGGACAGCCTTACCACCATGGCTCAGCTACCAATGTCTTAGACAAGATGAAACTGTGCATTGCAAATTTAGATTGTCTGACCTCGTGTTCGATCAGCGGCTCAATCCTACAGCTGTTCCTGCTGCCCATAGCGTTGTCAATCGCCAGCATAAGTTGAGTGAGGGGGACCGGTGTAGTTTCTTCTTCCATCAAAGTGCTTCTGAATCTTTAGATCTATCATTGAAAAGTAAGGGTGTGTGGACAGTATGATCGACTCACAAATTTTATCAAATTTTGCCCTCAAGGGACTCCTACTGGGTCTCATAGCTTTGAGCTGCAGCGTTCGTCTCCCCATCTGCCCACACCCTAATACATATGAACAGCATTCCTAACATTCGGGGTTAACAGGCAGCTGGACTTTGCATTTCTCGAATTTTCTTTCACCCCTTAGCCAAGTATCCCGGTCCCTGGCTGGCAAAGATCACCACTTTGTATGCCGGTTATCATGCATGGCGCGGGGACCTGCATCTTGACATGTGGAGATGCCACGAGAAGTACGGTGAGTACCTCCGACTATTCATGACATACGAATATTGGAGTACTAACTTCAGGTTCCCTCTGCTCTTAGGTGACTTTGTCCGATATGGACCTAATAGCCTCCTTGTCAACACTGCCGACGGACTTCACGATATCTACAGCCATGGGAAGAACTTCAAAAAGGCCCAACGCTATGCCGCCATGGTGCATCGGGCCCCGAACACATTGACCGTTATTGACAAGAAGAAGCACGGCAAGAAGCGAAGAGTCATCAGCCAGGGCTTCTCGGATTCCGCACTCAAAAACCACGAGGTTGTCATCCTGGAGCAAATAAAGCACCTATGCAACCAGCTGAAGGCAGGAGAGGGAGGTAAGCCAGTGCCAGCAGACACCTGGTCTACACCGAAGAATATGGGCCGAATGAGTATGTGCTTCCCACTGAGATACCAGAGATGTCAACCTATACTAACGTAACATCTTGTTCTGCCAGCCGACTATCTCGCCTTCGACGTCATGAGCAACATTATCTTCGATTGCCCCTGGTCAACCCTGCGTGACCCCACCTTCCGCTTCGTACCGGAGGTGATCGAGAAGTCCAACGTCCGAGTCGGAACCCTAGCTCAAGCGCCCGAGCTCAGCATTTTCCGTCTCGACAAATACCTCTTCCCCGAAGCCATCAAGGCCAGGAACACGTTCATCAGCTTTGTCGAGGTGATGCTCACCCAAGGCATCGAAGCAGCCTCCAAGACAGGCAAGGGTGTCTTCGCGCTCCTCGCAAAAGCCAAAGACCCGGAGACCGGCCTTCCTCTACGCAACCGAGAACTAGGCGGCGAGAGTGCGACGCTGATTGTCGCGGGGACCGATACCTCCTCTACCGCGATGGCGGCCTGCTTCTTCTACTTATCGCACAACAGGGCAGCCTACGAGCGCGCAGCGAATGAAGTTCGCAGCACCTTCACTTCCCCCGACGAGATCCGCATGGGTCAACAAATGAACCAATGTGTGTTCCTGCGCGCCTGCATTGACGAGAGCATGCGCATGTCCCCATCAGCGGCCGGATCGCTGTGGCGCGAGGCCGAGGAAGCAGGAGCTACTGTGGACGGACAGTACATACCCCCTGGTGTGGATGTGGGAACGTGCATCTACAGCATTCATCATAATCCGGCCTATTATCCTGAGCCGTTCTGCTTCCAGCCTGAGCGTTGGATCGCGGATGAGTGTCGCTCGGTACAAGGGGATGTTGGACGCGCGCGATCAGCGTTCAATCCTTTCTCAATCGGGCCTCGAAGTTGCATTGGGAAGAGTCTCGCCTATGTGGAACTTCATCTTGTGTTGGCGAAGGTGCTTTGGGAGTTTGATATCCGCCTTCCAGAGGGGGATTTGGGAAAGATTGGAGAGGGGAAGGTGGGCGCTGAGTTTGGCCGGCATCGGCTTGATGAGTATCAGCTCTATGACCATTTGACTGCTGCGAAGGAGGGGCCATATTTGGAGTTTTGTCCCCGAAATTAGGAGTGAATTTGCAGTGGTTTGCCAGAAATTGGGTGCTTTATTTCCGGTCGGGGTTTTGGCGTTCTTGGTACTATCATGATTCTTGTCATTAGAGAAGTCGTTTCATTGATTGCATCTACACCTTTCTTGTGTATTATGTGAAGAGACCATTCATGAAATACCAGGCAGTGTGTGAAGTATAAAAGAGACGTGTTCAAGGGCCGTTATCGCCGGACTCCGTGTTGTCTACCGAAGTCAAATGACAGGGCGCTAGAAGGGTACGTTATGATCGCAAGAGTCAATGATTGAATAAGACCAGCTTGCTAGGGTAGATGAGAAGTATATCATAGCGACAAAAATAAAGACTCCAAGCAAGTATCCCAATGGTTCATCCCGTCCAGCATAAGCCTTGTTAGAGACTAGTCAATTTTGCTTAGCCCAATTAAAGTATTGAACAGGAAGGAAATTGAAAAGAAAGTCATTCTCTAAGGGCTTCCGCACACCCTGCCATGAAGCAAACTTATGATCGCATGCGGCTGGTGGATAGTACAGCTATAGCACCTATCTTATATCACATAATCAACACGATGCAATGCGGTCTTTAAGAGATAGGAAGATGAAGTGATAAAACAACGGAACTATATCCGAGTAGTAAATATATAATGGCCAGGCCACCATTGCAAGGCTAGTAGGCAACAACAAATATACCCTGACGGACCAGCGTAGTCTCAGCCCCATCCAGGGAACTCTAGCAGTATAGCCAGCGTGTCATTCATTGGTCGCTAGGCAGTTAGACATAGGCCTGTGCACCGGGGACTGTTTTCATCCAACAACGCCTGGAAATTTCGTCTCTGCCCGAAAGTGGGCCTTCCGCCCCGAGAGAACTTGACCAGTCAGTTTACTTGAACTGTAGTGGTAAGTAGATGGAAGTTGAGAATCATACAACATTAAAAGAGCTTCATGGCTTTCTAAATAGATAGTCTACATAGATTCCGCTTCTGAGCTATTTGTGCCAACATTCTAGAATTTACGCGCCCGTCTGCCTCAAACAGCCGGTCCATATGATATCCCAGGAAGAGCAGCATTGACCAGGCGGACAAACCATCTCAGCCATAAGGCTGCCCTAGTGCAGAGCCATGACCTCCCAGCTAATCGAATCCAACCCGGAAGACAACTGTGTCAACGACTTAGTAGACTAAAAGTACGAAAGTAGCTGGGTTCTAAGTGCTCACTGGTCAACCCAAGTGAGACATCCCCCACCTCGATCGGGAACATCCGCTCGATCAGGATTATGGTTGCCTGCGCCCTCGAACCAGTAGTATACAGCCCTCCGGAATAATACCAGGATTAAAATGAAAAGCGATCACCATGCCTATCAAATGTGCTTATGTAGGTGGTTTACTGTCCTTTCGGGAGCCCTAGGCTCCCGACAAATGCCGCCTATAGGCAGTAGAGAACTAGCTCGATGGGGCTAAAGAGTGGCCTTTGAACGTTAACGGTGTAGGCCTAATAGATCCGGACAAAGGGTCTTCTGACATATTTTCGGCTTGGCTTGGACTCGGTGAATGGTATAAAGCTGCCTGCCTAGTCTCCAACGACTGTTTTGTTTTTGTAGCAACAGCCAAATCCTACATTTACACCAGTCTAGCGCCCAGAACCAGGGAAAGTGAAGAAAATATGCTATCGGAGTTCTGGTCAGGATCCCGAAATTAGTCTTGTTATGTACGCAAATGGGTAGCTAACGGCACCCATATCTAGTCCCAGCTATGGGGTGAGTACTTTCCAACTATAGTCAAAGCGAACTAAGAAAGCGTCTAACCTCCAAAGCCTCTCTTCGGAGTCCTCGGCTGTACAAGCGCCATTGTATTCACGAGCATCGGGGCAGCCTACGGAACAGCAAAGGCCGGGGTGGGCGTTTGTTCATCGGGTGTGATGCGGCCAGACTTGATCGTCAAAAGTATTATTCCACATATATACTACCCTGCGTGTAGTGTTCCATGAGCTAATCAGTCAAAGACATCGTTCCCATCGTTATGGCCGGCATCCTGGGCATCTACGGCCTGGTGGTTTCGGTGCTGATTGCCAACAATCTCGCGCAGGAGATGACTCTGTACACGAGTCTGCTTCAGCTGGGCGCCGGTCTGGCGGTTGGGCTTTGCGGACTGGCTGCTGGGTGAGTAATTTCTATTTGAGAGTGTCTGTTGATATCAGCTAATTGTTATTGGCTGATTCATTGCAGGTTTGCAATTGGAATTGTCGGCGATGCAGGGGTGAGAGGAACTGCGCAGCAGTCGAGACTTTATGTGGGCATGATTCTCATTTTAATCTTTGCTGAGGTCTTGGGTATGTACCTCTGACCTATATTTCTCTGAGGATGGGATGGAAGCTGATGCAGCGGGATGGTATCATAGGATTGTACGGCTTGATTGTCGCGCTGTTGATGAACTCCAGGGCAGGCGTTGTCGACTTCAAGTGCAGTAGCTGATTCTTCAAGATTCAGTCTGGCACGCTGGATCTATGATAACAAGGTTGTGCGTGTATTCCAATACGCGCCTGCTCGACCCATGGGAAAGCTTGAATCCCTTAGACTCTCAGAAGTAACTGAGTATACATGTACACCTCATATGTTATCCATTATGAGGTTATACGTGCCTCCAGGATATTTCATCAAGGTACCTTAATGCTATACAGTCGAGGAGTTTCTGTCCTGAGAGAAATCATAGAAATTGTATACTAGCGACTCTATTAGCCATGAGCCCATTAGCCAATATGGACTCCGCCGATTTGGTAGATACTTGGCTAGCTTGGTTGAGAGGACTAACCTGCAAGTCTATCCTCGATATGTCATTGACAATAATGAAAAGGTTATCACTCTTCCCCAGGAAGTACATGTTGTCCCCGGGCATGAGAAATGCACCTCGCACGGCACCCCTAGGCAATCTTCTGGGAGATGGTCGCATCTGGTTCACATGAATGAGTGAGCACGAGCTCTACTACTATCCTACAAGGCTTTTTCTCAACCTTAATAGAAGTACCCATTTATTGTATTCATTCCTCGTAAACATCGTAGAATCATATCATAAGAACCATCGGAACCCGACAGCGCCCGGTCCATCGCGCAACCGTTCAGTCGGGACATCCTGCGCCCGCATCCTGACACCCTCCTTACGATCCCTGCGGTGATTATCCACGAGCATATATACCCCCAACAGCGCCGCCAAAATAGCACCAGTTCCACCGAATGCGCCCACTGTGACGAGGGCAGGAAGATATTTGGGCTTATCTTTCTCCCGGAAGACATTACTCGACACCAAACCCATTAAGTTCGCCAACGGCACACCAATACTCGTTAACAGCACACGCTTGTTCTCATCTGCAATGTTGTTGTTATACCATGTGGAGAGTAGCACCGACGGCGCAGAGGTACCCCAGGTCATCATGAAGGTGGCAAAATATGCTAGGTGGATCTGACGATCGACATCGTCGATAGCAGCGTAGATCATGAAGCCCGTGAAAGTGAGGAGGAAGCCTAGGACGATAAATGGGGCCCGGAGGCGAACGGCGTCTGATGCGAAGGCTAGGACGATGAGCATTGCGGCTCCGGTGACATTAGGGGCCACGGTGTAGAGGTTTGTTTTGACGGTGGAAAATCCCAGACGTTGAATGATCTGGGGCATGAAAAGGGAGACGCCTTGCAGGGGCACACCGAGACAGATTTCGATGGCGAGGAAGGCGTATGTGGAGGGGTGTTTGAAAATGCCAAGAGCGGAGCGGAGGTGGAAGGGTTCGTCAACAATGGCGGAACTGTCGACTTGGATGCGGTGGTGGGCGAGGAGCTTCTCGTCTTCGCTGAGGAAGGAGGCTGTCGAGGCGGAGCGAGGAAGATACCAGAAGGCGAAGCAGGAGAAGAGCACTGTGACACCGCCTTCGAGAATGAAGAGGTAACGCCAGTCTGGGAGTGAAGAGTCTTTGATTTGGAAGACGCCGAAGGCGAGTAGGCCGGAGAAGGCGTTGGCGATGTTGCTGGCTGCGTAGAAAATGGCGAGGCGACGGGCAAGCTCGCCACGTCGGTAGAAGGTCGTCAGGTAGTAAATGACTAGCGGGAAGAAGGCCGCTTCAGACATGCCGAGGAACCAGCGTAGAGCGAACATGCCACCGAAGTTCTTGGTCGCAGACGAGAGCAGTGTGAATGAGCCAAAAGAGAACATGAGCACAGGCAATACGCGTGCTGGACTCCAGCGCTTGCCGAGCATGGCAAATGGGGGCGCGAATACAACATATGGGACGTAGAAGATGGATAGGAGTAGGTTATATTGGCCGGGTTTGAAGTTAAGATCTGGTAATGTTAGCGACGGTAGATAAAGAGGGAGCAAGGGCTGGTTTACCATCGCTCATGCCGGCGGTTTCGGCGTTACTGAGGTTGCCTTTATCCAGGGCATTGAAGAGGTCTAAAAATTATGAGCAGGTTAGAAAATAATATCTAGATGGATATACGTACACATCAATGCGAGCACGGGAAGTATACGGAAATCGAAGCGGCGACAGAGAGCCCGTTCGGCCTTGTGGTCGATGACCTGGACGACATCTTCGACGACCCCCGGGACAGAGCCGTAGCGGTCGATGTGTGAAGCATCGTCGGTGATGGAGTCGCGTGTAACCGACTTTTGGACTTTCGGCGGCGGATCCGAGGCTTGGGCGATCATGGTTCCTCCCAACAGCGGATGTATGTTTAGAGCTAAGAGGATAGGAAGGGGAGGTTGGAGGGAGGGGTGTTTTCAAGAGGTGACGATGCAAGGAGGAAAGGGAGAAAGACGGTCTGCTTTATGCATAAACAAGAACGGACAGGAACAGGCTTATCAGCCGGCCGTGAGGAGGATAACTGGAACCCCCCACGGCTTCTCCGCAGATCTGGCGATGCGACGACGACGGATGCGGCAAGGTTGCATCGCGGTGGCCCTTATCAGCCGGAGAGATAGCGTTGGGCGATATCGGCTGCGATATTAGTTATCAGCACCCCTGTCAGTTCTTGAGATAACTCAGATTAAGGGTCTTGGCTGCGTGTCACCGCTCTCCCTGCAAGATACACCTATGTAAGCAGTCTGATTAATGGTTTAAACCATCAACTTGCAGGGTCATGAAGGGGGTTTGAGGATGAGAGACAAATTGAGTTTACGCCTTCACTGGGGGTTACATTGACCCTCATGTGAACTTCCCCGCATTCAAGCTTTGCCATGACGCGGAGCGACTCTATCGTCCCCTGGATACGAGATGCAGCCCTTCAACATTTGCCGAGGTGCAGACTTCCCGTGACGCACGGTGACTCTTCATGCTGTCAGTGCGCTGGCCTGCTACGGTGCACTAAAGTCAATAACACGGAACAATTTTACCTTGTCTGTTGACGCCCGACCACTAATCATCATCCACATTCTACTCTGTACTATTTTCTCATAAGCTAGTTCTTCCCGGACAATTGCAACATCAGAGGTAGCCATCGTGGGGATGTTCCTTGGTGCATTGCGATGACCACATTTGGTCGCAGAAAGCCATTCAGATGGCACGAAGAAAGGCCGTATGCTCGGTGTGCTGTCCTCCGGTATATCAATATCAACATCCCTTCTTCATGAACTGGTATCTGGAAGGCAGTCATACTGTGGTCAAGGCACCAGATAATACGGCCAACACGGCAGATCAAGGAAGCCCACATCTCGCTAGGCGGTTTGAACAAATCTTGACACCAGTCGTTTTTCAGAGGCTTGCTTAAATCGTGATCATCATCAGAAATTTCTTCTTTGGTCGCTTCCATCTCCAGTCGCGACCAAGCAAGGGGGCAGAAACTGGCGATGCGTGGCAGCCTTGCTAGCCCTGACATTTCCAGGAGCAGACGCTCCTATTTTGGTGAAGTGCAGAAAAGTGCGTCCTTCATCTGCACATCGTCAATAATGAGATCGAGATAAATGCAGCTATCTCCGATCAGTCATCCAAAGTGAATACACGAACTGATCTGTCATTGGCATATACCACCCACCCAGTCTTGCGATCGTGGGCGTTGCACCCGTTTGCGCATCCCATGCTTGCTGGATTCTGCATATATCTTTTCGTTTGGACCGTTTGGGCTCTATGGGTCAAGTTCTGATATCAATGACTCATCATGTTAGCTGTAGCGCTACTTTCAATCTCAGTGATAGCTACTCGGCAGTCAAGACATGACTCAAATAATATGTCGCTTGCCTCCTAGTCGTCTTGCTTGGACACTTTTCCAGCGTCCACGTCTGTACCAGATCGACATTCATACTTATGACGCCTTGTCATGCGACCACACAACAAAGAAGCGAACCGAACATTTGTGGCGGCACAGTGTCCGCAGCCGGATGACTGGCTTGAAGTCATGAATGTTTGCCAGGCTGTCAACATTCCTCCTGTGGTAGATGCAGACACGGCCATTGCGGGTTTCTTACCCTTGAGCTCTGTTGTAGATCAAGCGACCGACCGTCGTAACTCCGCATTGTAGGTACCGCCTATCGAATGCGGGAGCAGAGCAGCAAATTCCCAAGCATCACACTCTGGACATCGGATATCCACCAACTTTAGGCCATCCTGGTTGAATTCACGTCTTAGTTGACATGACCTGGTACATGACTCGATGGTCTCGAATTCATACACGTCGAATGTCTCTCAATCCGATGCCGCGGCAAGGAAACCCCTGTTTGGACTAAAGACGCGAGGCGCAAAGCGCTCGACACCTAGCAAGGATGTCTTCCTAGAACCGATTGAGAAGCACAAAGCCTCCTTTGCCACAAGCAATCACCAGTCGCTTTCTCTCAATATCAGCGATTTGGACAATATATGTGACGGGATGAGCGCTTGTGCTGATTATTATTTCTGCAGGTCTTGTAGTAAGTATTTTACACAAGGTCACGGATCATCGGACAACAGTGACAGACAATGGCCAGCGCTTGGTTACGCATTAATTTTGACAAGGCGCACGGCCAACACTGTTCTTGCTGGCCATCATCATCAGACATAGTGACCCTAAAGTGGCGTTTCGATTACCCAGATCCAAGTTGCGAGGTAGTTACATTATTGACGCTATTATCGAAAAGCTATCCTGCCATTGCTTGGGCTGATAAGGGGCCTCGAACCATTGCAGTGACTTGGAATATGCCAGAGGCGACATTTTTGTGGTGGTTTATGTAAGACAGTTGGGGAACGGAGCAACGGAGACTTACCCGGAGACTTTTGCCCTGGTACTATAGACCGTGTTATGACTTCGGATTGGGACTGACAAATCGACATTTGGACAGCATCAAAGGAGACTGCATCGTGTTTTGAGATAGATCAGCTTAGCAGCGTCCTCTTTTAGGTCACTCTCTTCGCATTGCCAAAATGTACTCCTTCGTATCTCCTCAACCTCTTCTTCCATCGCTACCGTCGAATAACACTCAAATCGAGTCGCGATGACTACCTCATCTCCAGGAGCGCAGGAAATTGCATCGCTTGGTATCGAAATGTCATCGAGACATGATGATGGTAAATAGCTCTTGAAGATGTCTCACAATAGCCGGGGGCCTTATCAGTCCATTGACTAACTCATAATGATTCACGTGTAGTTTCTGAACAGACTGCGCAAGATGAATACGTCTACATTGCAGATAGATACAACTTGCTTCGGCGGATCATCTTCATCATGACGGTGTGTTCATCCATGTTTACCAATCAATTGGGCCTATGCAACAGCCTCACGACTCTCGAAATAATCGGCGATTCCTTTGGTGTCACTGCTCCTGGTCAACTCTCGTGGACAGTATCTGGCTATGGCTTGACTCTAGGCACATTCGTGTTGATCGGGGGACGTTTGGGCGACGAGTTTGGCAACAAGGCAATTTTCATCATCGGCATGGGCTGGCTTGCCTTGACCAGCATGATGGCAGGAGCCTCTGTCTATTCCAGCTGGCCCGTCTTCGTCCTTGCTCGTGTCCTGCAGGGCCTCGGTCCCGCCTTAACTGTGCCTAATGCACTCGCTATCTTCGGCAAATGCTTCTCGCAGGGCCCTCGTAACATGGGGTTCGCATGGTTTGCTGCATCAGCTCCAGTCGGTGCGATGGCCGGTCTCCTCTTTGGGGCCCTCTTCGCCATGGCGTGGTGGCCATGGATATACTGGAGTCAGGCTTTGGGGGTTGCCTTTCTCTTCGTGCTCGCCATATTTGCAATTCCAGACATGCCTCTTGAGGGTGAGCAAAAGCAGCGACGAACGATACGCGAAACCTTGGACCGCCTTGATCTCCCGGGAGGTGTCACCGGGGTGACAGCCCTGGTTCTGTTCAACTTCGCCTGGAATCAGAGCCTGGTTACTACGTGGGATGAACCCTATGTGTACGTGTGTCTCATCCTCAGCTTTCTTTTCCTGGCGGCGTTTCTTTACATCGAAATCCGCCTAGCTCGCTATCCAATTCTACCTGTCGCCGTCCTCACCTCCGACATCGCCTTCGTCTTCGGTTGTACAGCAGCCGGCTGGTCCACATTTGGCATCTGGGTAAGTACAACTCTTTGGCCCAAGATTCTGTCGAACTAACCATGTGTCTAGCTCTTCTACGTCATCCGGATATGCCTCAATATCGGTGGCCAAACCCCCATCCAACTAGCTGCATGGCTCTCTCCCATCCTCGTCACCGGCATATCAACAGCATTGATAGTAGGCAAAATAATCACCAAGGTTCCCGCCCCATTCATCATGTTGTTTGCAATGCTGTGTTACTTCCTGACCTCCCTTCTCATGGCCCTGCGACCTGTACATTCGACGTACTGGACCTACTTCTTCTTCGCCACCATCATTGCCACCTTCGCCATGGATTCATCATTGCCTGCTGCCACTATCATCTTCTCGAATGCAGTGCCGAGACAGTACCAGGGGATGGGATCTAGTGTGATCATGACGATCGTTGTCTATAGTATCTCGCTCGGTCTGGGTTTCGCTGGTACTATTGAACTCCAGATCAACAATGGCGGACACACGAAGGCAGAATTGCTGCATGGTTATCGGGGTACTCTCTGGTTCTCGGTCGGTCTGACGGCATTCGGCACGGTCCTTGCCCTTATTTTTCTACTCAAAGATCAGCACAGACGGAAGCGGACCAGGAATCAAGACGAAGAGGAAAAGAATGATTCATCGGAAAGTTGAACACTTGAAGACCTGATCCAGAGCTACGGGCGGAGTATTGACTAGAAGGGAGTCGAAGACTCCGAACTAGCCAAGCATGGTTGTTGGGACTTGATCGTAGATTGGTGGGCTTAAACAACGACGTTTTAGACTGGCAGTACTTGAGTTGAAGCATGAAACCCTCCGCCCTCTGCCCCCGGTCGCCATGGTTCCTGGACCTGGTCGGGGCTGCTATTAATTATTGGGAAAACTACGAGTTTATATTATTACTTATACATAACATATTTAATTTCGCCTATTTTAGCTTTGGCAGATCTCTGGTCAGTAAATAAGTTCTAGGTTCAAACATTAATACATGGATTACTCGGGTACAACATCAGCAAATTCACACTTTATTGTCCACGGACTTGACCTGATCTTAAAATATATTCAAGTGTATTTTCTGAAAACTTACTTTTTTTTAATGTACTTGGTGTCTGACGGATTTCTATTACTATCTCCAGCTGTTATCAGTATACTTGATATGAAGTATGATTTCTTTGCACATTAAGATGAGATGTTTCTAGAAACCAATAAAGTTCTGGGTGTGAGCAATGTATCTTTGATACCCTGACGGTATTAGTGCCCGGCTGTCGCGACCTCGGTAATACGATCTTCCATGCCCTCCACCAGCTGAACCACGACGCCCGCCTCCTCCAGTCGCTTCCTTCCCGCGTTCTCCCCAATAAATTTCTCCGGCTCCTTGATTCCAACGTAGACAACCTTGATTGCGTCGCCCAATTGGAGTATCCGCTCCACGCAGGTTCGATTCCCACTCAGCCTTCGGTTACAGGGCTCCATGGTCGTGTACAGAACGGTGTTTCGGGGCAACACCTTCCCAATCTGATCCTCGGGGATAATATGCTGTTCGGCCACTTTGATGAAACAGCAGTGTTCCGCGTGGGTGTTGCCTGGATCTCCCGGACGGTCTCCTGGCAATTCCATAGAATATCCGGTTGAGAGGATCTCGTTTTTGTCGGCATCGACCAGAACTGCTCCGACACAAAACTTCGTCGGGGCTGGAGGTGAGAGACGAGCTTGATCGAGAGCATATCCCATGTAGGCTTTATGGTCGCCAGCTGGAATACTGGGGTGGCTTGGCTTGGCGGCCATTGTACGAAAGCACCAGTCGAGGATTTGAATGGCAAGCAGGAGTCTAACAAATGTGCTGCACCTCGATCGAGTCAAAGTGATATTGGGTGGTGTATGTGCCACGAAGGGAAGGAAAGAATGCAGTACGAGAAAGACCGCATGGATCGATCGTTTCTTCCAATGGCCCCTGGGATGAGGGGGAATGGCTAATGCGGGCCGCCATCACCCCCCTTTGACAGGTTAGGGTGCTTAGGGGCGCTAAATCATCCACTCAAAGTCCCTAACACGCCCCACTGTATGTAGGTGTAGTGGGAAATTGTTACCCAGCCACGTACTTTGGCACCAGAGGCCGTCGAAGCGCCAACTGCTTATTTGGGAATGGCATAATCGCTGGGGTGTTAACATTAGCGCCCAGGCCGTTCTTTCCCTCCGGGCAGTATGGTAGGTTGACAGAAATCTCAGAGCTGTTGAGGGCTCTACCTTCCTATAATAATCAGATAATCCCGCTCATAGAAGGTCACAACGGTAAAGGTGGGTGCAGTTTCGCTTCTTTGCCCTTCCGTTGTCTCACTGTGGTCCTGCTTTATTCGCCCCAAAGCAGGCCCGGTGGGCTACTACCGTGGTGTTGGGCTATTTTATATAGTAACTGTATGTTCTCTCTGTCACGGTTTTTTGACTTGCAGACACGGCTAAACAGACATTCGTAGTACGTGAACGTGTTGTCGTTCCAGAAGGGGCGTGCTTTTGACCTCATCAGAGTATAGTCAGCATGGACGATCCAAAAGGCTCTCTAGGCCTAAATCTTCTCCATTCGCCATTGGAGCCTCACGTTGAGTTTGTCTTCGTACACGGCCTTGGTGGTGGTTCTCGGAAAACATGGAGCAAATCAACCGCCAGCTACCACTACTGGCCACAGGAGTGGCTTCCCAAGGATCCCGCATTCAGCAATGTGAGAGTACACAGTTTCGGGTACAACTCAGACTATTTGAAGGGCAAGGGTAATTGTCTAGACATACACCATTTCGCAAAATCCCTATTAGGGGAGTTGAGCACCTCTCCACATCTAAGTCATACGGACACACCAATAGTGCTCTTGGGACATAGTATGGGCGGCCTGGTTATCAAAAAGGCTTATCTACTAGCGAGCCAAGACACCTTGTTTGAAAAGCTCGTGAAGCGCTTTCATGCAATTTATTTCTTTGCCACGCCCCATAGAGGGTCTGACTCGGCTAAGTTACTTGAGAATATCCTAAAGATAACGTATTCCTCTCGTGCATACGTCTCTGACCTCAAGCGCGGATCCAGTACGATACAATCTATCAACGATCAATTCCGGAATTATTCCGGCAAGATGGAACTATGGTCATTCTATGAGACATACAAACTTACCGTTGGACTGTTCAGCATACTCATCGTGGACCCAGATTCAGCCACTCTCGGATATCGCGAGGAGCAACAGATCCCTTTGGGAGCCGATCATCGCTCAATCTGCAAGTTCGATGCGGTCACAGATCCTAACTATGTCACCATTCGGAATGCCTTAGCATTGACCGTGAGCCGAATATCGCATTCGGGTAAGTCCCCATATCGACGCCACAGGTGACACTGATATGGACAAGTTTCTTACTCAAGACAAGTGGCCACGTCGAAAACACAGCAAGTGAGAATCCAGTTACAGCAGCTGGAGACGTATCTAGGCGTTCAGGCAAACATTGAGGATGACCTTATCCTTCTCGAAGACGCTCGTATGAAAGGTACTTGTGAGTGGTTTGGATCCAAGTCGAGTTTCCTTACCTGGAAAAGCTTTGAAAACAGCAGTCCAAGCGTCTTCTGGGTCAACGGACAACCAGCCACTGGAAAGTCGGTGCTTGCTGGATACGTTGTCAGTCAGCTTCAAGAGACCAGGGCTGGTTGTAGTTTCTATTTCTTTAGATATGGTGATAAGTCGAAAAGTGGACTTAGTGGATGTCTGCGTTCCTTGGCTCTCCAGATGGCTTGCACAAATGCCGAGATTAGGAAAACACTTCTTGAGATGCAAAGCCAGGGAGTCAGAATTGATAGTGAGGACGAGCGGGTTCTATGGAGAAGGCTATTTCAAGCCGGCATTCTTCGGGCTGTCCCTGAAGGTCATTATTGGGTGATTGATGGACTTGATGAATGTGCCTCCTTCTCTTTATTTTTCGACGTCATGCTTTCCAATCTCGACGAATCGACTCGGCTACGGATTCTAGTGACTAGTAGGGCGACACCGGAGATATGCCGATACTTTTCATCGCTTGAAGCGCCTAGGGTTATGTCCGAGCAAGTCTCCGTTTCTGACACTCTCCAGGATATAAAGCTGCTCGTCGAGGCCGGAACAGGGTCTTTGGCGGTAGGTGGAGACGAAAACCGCAATAACTTAGTGTCCAAGATTTTGGATAAGTCCCAAGGGTCATTTCTGTGGACTGTCTTGGTACTTAAAGAACTGACAAATTCGCACAGTGAGCAGGAGATAAGCCAGGCTCTTCAGGATATGCCTCGGGATATGGCACAGCTCTATATGAGATCGCTCGAGTCAATGTCGCAAGCTTCACAGGGAAAGACATTAAGCAAGGCTGTTCTTATCTGGACTACATGCGCAACGAGGCCACTCAAAATCACTGAGCTTGAAGTCGCCTTGAGGCTGGACGTCAACGATCATTTCCCAAAGTTAGAGGAAAGTGTATTATCACTCTGTGGCCAGTTTGTGACAATTGACAAACTTGGCAAGGTTCAGATGGCTCATGAGACGGCGAGGGAGTTTCTTCTCAACGCCAACCTCAAGTCTGAGTATGCTATCAGGAAGGAAGAAGCACATACTCGCATTGCTCGAACTTGCCTTATGTACCTCACAGGCGACGAGATGAAGCCCCCTCGGTCGGGTAGACGAGGTGCTGCCGCCTTCTCTTCAAGAAAGAGGTCGAATTTCTGCGCCTATGCCTGTTCAGAGTTCTCGTTCCACCTGTCAAAGTCAAGTCCACTTGCAACTGATGTCTTCCACCTACTTGTAAAGTTTCTAAGGGCGAATGTCCTGTCATGGATAGAGGTGGTTGCGCAGACCAAGGATCTTAATATTATCATCCGCGCCGCCAAACATCTCAGAAATTACCTCAAAACCTGCATGGCACATCTCCCGCCTGTTGGTGGTGACATGCCTGTTATCAGAGGCTGGACAACGGATCTGGTACGCGTTGCTGCCAAATTTTCTGACGCTCTACTGATTTCGCCCGCGGCCATTTACTCTCTCATTATACCTTTCTGCCCTCAGGAATCCATAATTTATAATGCTGGCAAGACTGTGAAAAGGCTTTCCGTGATGGGCCTTTCCCAGAACCAGTGGGATGATCGACTGGCATGTATTGAGTTCAGTCAGAGTCAAACAACGGCCATCTGCTACGGCGAGATGATTTTTGCAGTTGGTTTGAGTTCCGGAAAGGTCGCGCTGTACGATGCTACGTCGTGTCAAGAGTTTACAACTCTGGAGCATGGAGAAAGAGTGATGCATTTGCAATTGTCTAGCAGACGTGGGCTGATTGCTGCATGCGGAATGAAGACAATCAACACATGGGAGATTCTTAGTGGCCGGTTGGTTTCCACTTATCCGGCCCCATCCCGGCCACTAGAGATGATAGTTTATGATGATCGACTTATAGTTGCGTCGGCCAAAAATTACTTGGCGTCGTGGGGACTCGACGGCGGCGGAATTCAATATCCCCATCGGCCATGGAACGATTCTGACAATATGAATGTTCAGACACATCGAGTTCCTTCTGCCGTATCAATATCAGTCGGTCACCAAATGATGGCAGTTACCTACAGCCGACGGCCCATCATCCTCTGGGACCTCCAGGAGGACGCCTATTATGGGAGCTGCGGGAAGAAACTCGCCAATGGTGAAACAAGCAGATACATGGTCACTGCATTGGTTTTCAATCCCAACCCTTCGATCGAACGCCTTGTGGTAGCCTATCTCGATGGAGAGCTTGCCCTCGTCGATCCATTCCAGGATGAGGTTCTGGTGAGCTTCCGGGCCAATTGTCAAACCCTAGCAGCTAGTCCTGATGGGCGTCTGCTAGCGGGAGGTGTCGGATCTGGAATAATCCAAATATATGACTTCGAGACATTGACGCTTCTTTACCGCGTTGAGTCCACGAAAGTTTACATCAAACAATTGGCATTTAGCCCGGATAGCCTGCGATTGGCCGACATCAGGGGTAGGGAATGTAACATCTGGGAACCTGCTATTCTTCTTGGTGACTCAGGCGGAGACGACAGCAGCCAGGCTACGTCAAATACTGTGTTCGAGACAGTGGCCACAGAGACAAGAGTCAAAATTACTGCACTTATTGTGGACGTCCAGGAAGATGCCGTATTCTGCAGCAAGAGCGATGGATCAGTATGTCTCTACAATATACGATCAGGCAACGAGATACGCACACTCTATCATCATAAGATCAGTGTTCACGCACTCAGCTGGCTACCCAAGGCCAAACTCCTGCTGAGCATCGACGTGTCGAACAGAATATTAGGGTGGAGACTCAAGAAATCACCGACAGAAGGTTGGCTGCCAGAAGAAATGCTCTTCCAATCACGCCTCGACTGCGGACATGCGATTACCCAAGCACTGGCTAGTGATGTCGCAGGAAAGTTCATATTGTCCACTCGAGAAGCAGATCATTTGTGGAGTATCAGCGGTCACGAACTAGACATGCGAAGTTATTCGTCGAAACCCGGCATCCGCAAGTGGCTGCAACATCATGATTCGGAAGAACATGTGATATGCTTTGAAGGCGCGACCGCCCGTATCTATAGTTGGAGTGACTGGACGGAAGTAGCAACAGTCGAGGTCCATATTGATTTAGGTGGTCTACAGATCAAAAATGCCTTGCCTTGCACATCCGCTAGGAAACAACGCATACTTCTCGAGTTATCGGAGTTAGATGGCCCAGCTAAGACATGCAGGCTCTACCTGCTCGATGCGAAGGCATTTACTGTTTACAACGAAGGAGATAAGCCAGATAGTCCCAGCGCGATATGCGCAGGTCAGAAAGATACGCAACTGGGGAACAAGCTATTTCATGTCGACAGGACATCGAATCAATGTCTTATCAACCGATCAGCCACCATGAGCCGGTATACCACACATTGCATCGGTGCTACCGCGGCCAGCAAGATTGTCTTTCTGGATACCCACTCCTGGGTCTGTACTGCTGATCTGGACACACCGGAGGATAGCAAAGAGCTATACGTTCGCCATTTCTTTGTGCCATATGATTGGTTTTCGGGATCAAGGCACATAATCTCGACCGTTGTTAGTCGAGATGTCTTGATTACACGCAAGTCAGACCTCGCTGTTATCAAAGGAGGATTGGAATACACGCTGCCGGTGGAGTCCCCGGGGGCTGTAATTGAAGGTTGACTTGGCACTTGGAAGCTATAAGTGTTAACTCTTTAATCCACAACGTGGTTTTCGATTCTTGGGAGCGGGTTATTTTGTAGTGTCATCTCAAATGCCAATATAATGACACTTCGTCTAGAAACCAATCTATGGAGCACCAAGACTGGTTGAAACCAACCGTCTTCCAAAGCCCTCAATAAATTGGGAGCCAACGTTTCCAGGCCAAATGAAGTGCTTAGATTACGCGTCGCTCCGACGGATATCAAGAAAAGCACTCGCAGAACATGCCATCGCAGGTGCGGTATCTGGGAGTAACCTAGTTGAAACGCAAACTCATACCCATCGCGGATAACATTCGATCTTTGCCTCCGACCTCCGACTCCCGACCTGCGGAGCATTGCTTAAGCGGGACCAATAACGGACCGCGGATCGAGTATCCCTACCTTATTTCCGCAGGGCAGGCGTTGTACCACGGTTCCAAATCAATCTATTTTGCGTCATCCTGTCCGAGGGGATCGCCGAAGAGCCGGGTATGGTAATGATCCTCACACTGATGGGAGATCAGGCCGCGTATCCCTCGGCGCAAATATCCGTGAAGATGCATGATTCCCGTCGGAGCACCGTTAAGAGGTCTGCTCGCCGACCTCCGAAGGCATTGCAGCATTTACTTAAACGCTGCCTCTATCCCCAAGCAACCTGAATTATCGTTTTACCATCATCCTAGATCATTTCATTGACCCTATTAGCATTCAAGACACAATGAATCAGTCTCATAGTGCGAGGCTCGCTCTCGCCACACTCATCCCTTTCCTGATCGGGGCCAATGCAGCGCTCTATGACACCGTCATCAAAACGCAGTATGGCGGCGTTCAAGGCTACCCGGCCTTCACCAGCGAGCCTGTCGGCAACCTGACCCATTGGAAGGACATCACCGTCTGGAAGAACATCCCCTTTGCCGCCACCACAGGGGGTCAGAACCGCTGGAAGGCACCTCAGCCAGCAAGCGCATGGAATGGCACCCTTGATGCGAAGTCTTTTGGAAATGTTTGCCCGTCAGCCACCGAGGGCAACTCTAGATTTACCATCGACGAGGATTGCTTGAATCTCAACATCTGGAGTCCCGCCAACTCCACGGATGCAAATCTCCCGGTTGTGATGTGGAGCTATCCCGCCCTTTCAACGGCTGCTGATGCCCTGTTTGACGGTGGTGGCATGGCAGACCATGGTATCGTCTACGTGAATTATAACTACCGTACTGGCTCATTCGGCTGGCTTGCACACCCGGAGTTGTCAGAGGAATTCTACAAGGTAACGGGATCCAACAGCTCTGGCAACTGGGGCATGCTCGACCAATTTGCAGCGCTCAAGTGGATCCACGAGAACATCGCCGCGTTTGGCGGTGATCCTGAGCACATCACAGTCATGGGTCAATCCGCTGGATCAGCCGCCACCCAGCACATCCTCAACAGCCCACTGACTAAGGGCCTAATTGTTGGCGCCATTATTGAAAGCGGAGTTCGGGATCCGCACGACCCCCTCTGCACCAGTCTGGCCGAAGGCTACAGCACATTGGAGGATCAGCTGGCCCAGGGCGAACGCTTCATGGCCAGCGTGAACTGCAGCTCCATCGCCGAGATGCGCGAATTGCCGATGGAGGATCTCGTCGTGTCGGGCGGAACGTTCGGCAGCAGCAGCGAATGGAGCTTCGACGCCACTTTGGACTACTATGCCATGCCGGACACCTACTACAACACACTTATCAAGGGTCTGGCGCAGGATGTGCCCATCATTACAGGTAATACTAAGGATGAAAGCGGGGCTAGCTATGGCCTGAACCTCACGGTATCTGAGTACCTGGCAGACATGAATGAGACGTTCAGCGAGCCATGGCTCTCCCGCTCCCTGGAGCAGTACCCCGGAAACACAACGCGAACAGCCCCGGGAGCCTACAACTCTCAGTGGACCGACCGGTCCAAGGTGGGCACTTGGCTGTGGGCGCAACTCTGGGCGACCGCGAGGACTAGTCCTGTATATACCTACTTCTGGGACCACGCTCCGCCGGGCCAGGACCAGGGAGCGTACCACGAATCTGAGATCAACTACGTTCTAAACAATCTGTACGGCACGGACAAGCCGTGGACGCCTGCAGACTATTCTATTGCACGGAAAATGAATGGATACTGGGCCAACTTTATCAAGACAAACAATCCCAATGGAGGATCCCTGGCCCAGTGGCCAGCCACGGGAGAGAACGCGACAGTGCAGCATGTGGGCGATGGATGGGGTGAAATTCCGACCGCATCAGATGCCAAGGTTAAGCTGTTTGAGGATTGGTTTGAGACACTGAAGACATACTGAGGGCGCATCAACATCTACTTGTATATAGCCGTCTGTAATTAGCCACACTTCATGTACATCGTCTGTATGATAGCAACAAGTGCAAATTGCCTGATATGCTTCCCCGCATTCGTGGAGCCGGTCGATCATTGTAGATTACCCATTTAGCCGGTCCCATGCGTATATCTACTTCTCCTCAGCTGCTCGGACTATCCTAGAACAAAGGTAGATTATTAAAAATATCACTTCAATTGAGTACCATCAATACAATCATGGCCCATCACAATCCTCATAACTTCCCCCTCTATCTCGTGATCCTCCTCTCCCTAGCCCTACCCATTCTATCCACCCCCCTTCCCTCCTCCCAGTCAGAATCCCAATCCCAATCCCACTGGGTTGACATTTGGACCACAATGCCCCAACTCACCGAACCAGCCAACCTCCCCCCAGCCCCATTTGTGCGTCCCCCACCCCCATACCTCATCATGTATACACCACTAACCCAACCCCGTTCCTTAACCAAAAAAGAATTCCACCCCCTCGATCTTCCCCAACACGACCCTCCGCCAAACCCTCCGCCTCACCCAACCCGCCCAAACCATCCGTCTCCGTCTCTCCAACGCCTTTGGCAGTACCGACCTCCCCATCACCTCCGTAGCCATCTCCGTCCCAGCCAACAACACCCTCGGCAGCGCATCCATAATCCCGGGTACCACAACCCAGTTATCCTTCGACGGAGACACCTCGATCCTCGTTCCAGTAGGGAGTCTCATCGTCTCAGACCCGATAACCCTCCCGAAACAAGCGGGTACGACACTAACAGTAGACTTGTATTTGGAAAGCGGGCAGAACGGGACAGATATTACATCTCACCCGGGGAGTCGGACGACGTCGTGGATGGGGTTTGGGGATTTAGTTGGTGTGAATGAGGTAGTTGGCGGGGATGTGGTGGGGGTGGAGCATTGGTATATCCATCCCCTTTCTCTTTATTTCTTTATGCAACCATATCACACCGTCTCAGTCGAACAAAGTATACTAATGGATAGAAATGAGGGAAAAGGTACTTCATCTCCACCATCGAAGCCCTCCTCCCAGATACGTACCACGGGTGCGCAATCCTCGGCGACAGCATAACAGACGGGCGAGGGAGCGATACAAATGAGAATAATCGGTATCCTTACTTCTTCTTTAGCCACAGTGACATATCAAATGACTGACGTAGGATATCTGTACAATGCACAGCTGGCCCGACCTCCTCCTCCCATACCTCCACACTCCCCACTCACCAACAACCACCCTCTCCCTCCTCAACCAAGCCGCCGGCGGCAACCGACTCCTCCACGACTCCCTCGGCCCAAACACCCTCTCGCGTATCGACCGCGACGTGCTCGCACACTCCCACATAACGCACACGATCGTCTTCGAAGGCGTCAACGACATCGGCACAGCATCTACCTCCCCCACCGCTCAGCAAATAGTAGGCGATAGAATCATCATGTCCTACAAACAGATCGTCACGAGGCTGCATGCAGCAGGGATAAAGGTGATCGGCGCGACGATCACGCCGTTCGGGACACCGGCGAATGCATCTGTCGTGCAGCCGTACTCGGATCCGGAACGGGAGAAGACGAGACAGAGGGTGAATGGGTGGATACGGGATTCGGGGGTGTTTGATGGGGTGGTTGATTTTGATCGGGTGGTTAGGAGGGATGATGGGGCTGGGAAGGATTTGTTGAAGGAGGAATTTGATAGTGGGGATCATTTGCATTTGAATCCGAGGGGGTATGAGGCGATGGCTAGGGCTTTTCCTGTGGAGTTATTGGACTAAATTGGGTGAGGAGAGGGTGGTAGGTGGAATAGTTATTTTATTATGTCAATCGGCTGACTGATTCAGCTACTACTAACTAACCAGCTAGCTAGATATTAATTAAGGTCGTTCACATACTCATGCTCATTTTGCATCATACTCATACATGATCTTCCTTCTCTCTAAAGAAAAGAGATGGTTTAGTATCCCCGCAGACTGCGACGACGGGGAACACTGCGCTTGAGGGAGACACCAGCCTCAGCGGCATCGGCGTAGGGACCAAAGTCCGGGGATCCACCGAGGGTACCGAAGATATCACCGATGTAGTTGCTGGGGGTGATACCGGCAGCGAAAGTGGAGTTCCACTGGCTAATGATACCCTCGATGATCTTGACACCGGCGTTGTAGATGTTCTGGACAGAGGGCTCGTAGGCACCAGTAGAAGCGTAGAGGAGGTTCTCGCGGGCCGACTCGCCAGGGTAGGGGCGGTCGAAGTCGGAGGCGGTACGCATGACAATGATACGAGAGAAGTCAACGAGCTTAGCCTTAGCGGCACGGACCATGGCCTCGAGGGTGGCGTTATCCTCCTGGGCAGAGGCGCAGTAGGTACCGGTACCGTTGGTCAGGACCTTGGTAGTGTTGGCGAAGGTATCGCCGAGGATGTTACCGGAGTAGTAGACGTCGCTGGTAGCGACATCGCACTGGACGACGGAGGGGGCGGAGGCACCGGCAGCGTAGATGCCGTCGGAGGTGTTGTAGTTAGCGCGGTAGGCCTTGGCGGCATCGGAGTCAGCGAGGGTGGCCTTGCTGGCGAAAGCGGCGGCGATCTGGCGCAGGTTGTCGTTGACTTCAAAGACCTCGGTGCCGTAGATGCTGCCGGGGTATTGCCAGGGGTAGTAGGCGCCCTGGGGGAAGTAGCCGGTGGTGGCGTTGGCGGGCATTTCGCGGATGTCGATCTCGTACTGCAGAGCGACTTGGACGGCGTAGCGGGCCAGAGTCACACCGCAGATGGTGGCCTGCTCGGGGTTGACACCGGCGATACCGGCGATCAGGAAGTAGGTGTTGGTCAGGTCGAAGGTGGGGTTGAAGATGATGGAGGAGACGGTCACGGCCGCGTTGATCTCGGCTTCACCGGTGACCAACTGGCAGATGTTGTGGTCGGCCGTGCAGTGCACGTCCGGGAAGAGGGGAGAAGCTCCCGGGATGGTAATGTTGTGCTCCAGCACGTTGAACTCGGGGATACCCCACCAGATGGCGGCTTCGGGTTCGAACTGGGTGGTTTGTTAGTATACGGCAGCATTCATGGTGGGGTTGGGTTAGGGTGATAGATGAGGGTGGGCTACCATGGACACAATGAAGACCTTGGGAGCGATCTTGTCAGTGGACTGGCGCACGGCGATGTTCTTGGCCGCGGGGACGGAGCGAGCCGCAGCAAGGGAGGACAGGCAGCTGCTGGCGAGCAGCAGGCCCGTGGAAACGGATTGAAGGAGCTGCATGATGTGTGCGATGGTGGTGGAGTGCACTTTTTTGGCTGCAATAGCTGGATGGTGAAAGCGATGTTGGGGAGACCAGCTTTATAGCTTGCGATTGAGGTCTTTCTGTTCTGGGTATCAACTGCGTAGCTATCGGGATTTGGCCATTGGGTGGTTTAGTCGACCCACCGTCGCGTGCTAAATGCCCACATTGTTGAAAAACTCTGCCAGGGAGACGGGCTGATTAGGAAGGATTTGCATTGAGAGCGGAGAGGGTAGCATTGGTGCCTGCCAGAAAGCCAATGATCGGCAATCCATTCCGTACGAACCGAGCCGGTTGCTGCGGTGCATTTAGTTGGGGTTACTTAGTTAGTGCTGTTCTCCACCCAGCTGAAGAATGGGACGCGATTGAGTAGCTGAGTTTGCCGCGGGCGTTTTCCATTTTTCTTCTAGCTGTCAATGGATACAGAGATCATCGGTAGACTAAGGTACGGCATACACAACATAGATGCCATCATTTCCTGTTCCTGAAAGTTGTTCCCACAACACGAGAGGATATTCCCCGTGGCACCACGGGACGGAGCCAAGAACTAACGCAGGAACAAAACAACAACCCAAAAGGCAAAACATGGGAAAGATAGCAGAGAGATAAGCGGGGAGCCGGCCGATAATCATCGCACCACCAATATCGCGCAATTTAATTAACTTAGATTGCCTTATCGCTCACCGGCCTATCAACGGCGCCACTAGTGCCGGAGTGGAGGGATTCCACCGGATTTCTCCTCTTCATCGTGCTTCCCGATGCTTCCATTGCTGCACCTAGGCGATTGATCCAAATCCCTATACAGATATAGTGACATCGTGCGTAGCCTCAGCCGTAGCTGAAATTATATAGTACATAAATAGCTGAGGTTCAGATCCCGATGAAGAGAGTTGTGAAGGTGTTAGGGCTGCAATAGAAGGATGATGAGGGCACGAGGCAGGGCACGTGCGGGGCTGCGCCCAGCTGAAGAACTTTCCGATCACCACCACGGCACTCTCCACCTCGTTGCATTCAGACCCCGTAGGGCGTACTGATTAGATGGATGAGTTACTAATGAGGAAGAGATTATAGCCGGGTGTGAATCTGCATTATTTGCGCGTTATCTTATCCCTTGGCAGTAGTACTATCGCCATTGCTAGTGGTGCTAGTAGGAGTATCCCGTAGAAATATATATCTTGGACAGTACAGGTATATGATAGGAGATCCCCGGAAGGGTACTACTAACAACATCAGTCCAGGTAAACCTAACAGAGACCACTCGTATTTAGCTCCTAATCTAGTGCATGCCTAGTACACTTCCAAGGAGCTATCACTGTCGTTTAGTCTTGAATGACGTCTTCATCGATCCAATCAAGCATTTGTTCAATTCTATCCAAAACTCTACTTCCAGCATCACCATTCCGACAAAACATCATCAATGTCAATTGTAACCTGTACTATCAATATATCGACATCGTAGATAACTATGGTGGGAGACGAAATGCCAGTGAGCTACGTTCAGAATGGCATCCTGCGTTGGCAATAGCTTGTTGCCGCGGCCATGAACATTTCGCTCCTTCCTGGTCGCAATGTCATGTCCGCGGACTACTACGACATTCCTGCTCGGACTCTCATGCCAGGTCTCCCATACTTGAATATAGCTGGATCGCGGGGCAGAGACTGCAAGCATCTTCGTTGATAAAATAAGAACAGTCACATCCCTTGACATGACAGTCAATCCATTTTGTACCTCAATTGCAAGGGGAATGTCAGTCTCTAGGGCCTACTGAACAATCCCCACATCGGATTCGCCGACTTTGGGAATCTCCTGGGCTTCATTGATCCAATCATCGCCAATACACCCGTGGTTTCCCTAGACGAGGCTTCTCGTTGGTCGATTTTCATTCCTTTCCTTTCCTATCATGCCACTCGGGTGAATATTCCGAACATATGCTGATCACCACCCAATGAAATAAGCAATCCAACCGAGCATTCTGGAATCCAAGTGTCAGCCAGTTGGCGTCTGTCACGAAGCCTACAGAGTGTTGGTATATTATCACGTGATCGAAACACGCCGACCATCCGCGGACTCGACCAGGAATGCATCATCCCTTGCCAACTTGCGACCGTGATGCCATTTTGGTAACTCTCGGGGTCCAATCGTCTGATCCATCACTCCGACAGAGGTGGTTCCACCGGCAGCTCACGGATTCTAGAAGACAGAGGATCTTCTAGGGATCCCAACGATCGCTGCGAGTTTATTGAAGTTAAAGCTGGCCCCAAACTCAGTTTTCGCAACTGACTCGCCGGGATCGCTCCACATGGCAAGGGTGTGATGAGTGCTGTCTTAGACAGTTGCGGTCGGGTGGAGGTTATTCCTGACCGGACTCCATCCCCTTCCTCCATACAGGTCCGACGCGAAGCCACGCTGACGTGGACGGCAGGGGATCTCACATTGCGCGGTCAGATCTCCGACGATCTCCTCCACCAACAACGGACTTGGTGGAGATGCTGCACTGCTGCTACAAATACATTGGCCTCCCTTGCCGTGGCTGCCTTGGCCGATCCAAAGCAATGTCAGATGCTTGGCGGCAGCAGACCTCAACGGCCTCGTACGACCTCGGAGCGGAGTGGCAGGTCACGGGTTGATCCATGGAGCAGCTGGGATGCTGTCGGGCTGCCGAGAGACGGTCGGAACGTTATTGAGCGATGATGCTCCCGGGTGTGAGAGGAGATGCGATGGTCATCAGGCAGAGCCGCAGGTGTCCTCTTATTCGGACAATTTCATTCATCCCGGACCAGCTCTAAGACACAAAGGGGTTATATACCCCAGCTGAGGCGTGTCACCGTGTGAGTTGACAGGAAATCCGCGTAACGGGTCAACGTCAGCTTTGATGACTTCGTCACACCGATGGTTCTTGTCCGTGAGAGGATGGCATGAAAGAGCCGCTCCATGCGATCACATTCCACCGCTGAAGATTACGCTGGACGCGAGGCCCAACTGCAGTATCTCCGCAAGTGGACAAAGGGTCCTCTCTAAATGGGAAATGCAGCGATGGGCAGCAGCTGCACCGGAGGAGTCAGATGCAGCAGAGAAAGCCGCGTCATCGTCAGCTGCAAGATGCTCCCGTGCGCCTGCCGATCGCGGGAAATGAGTCCGTATCTGCTGTGTCCATGACCTTATTCCTAAAGAGAATAATCAGGCCAGACGTAGGGATAGAGCATTGGGGGGAGGGGGGGAAAGGGAAGAAGAGAGTCAACTGGCCGATGTCATCGGGAAACGACGTCATCCACGTGGGGTTGGACCGTGACGTCACCCGCCCGTCTCCCTCCAACTTGTTAGTTGTTATACTCTTTCCTTTTTATCCTTCTAGCTTCCCCTTTCTTCTGCTGGCATTGCATCGCATCGCGTCGCATCCTGGACCCTGCATCGCCGATTTGTTCTGCCACCCGTTAGGATATCCCCTAGACGAAATACTCCCGACCGGCTCACTCAGGTGAGCTTACATGACAACCGCTATCAGCTAGATATCCATAACTAATCCCTCAGTAGCCACCCACGAAAGTCTAATCAGGAACCACAAAGTCAGATCCAAAGAAACAACACCAGCTCAGCTCCGAATCACCGAAAATGGTCGGCTCCATCCACGAACGCATCCGCGAAGACCTTATCGGCAAGGAGCGTCGTCTCTGGACGGCGCTCACCTCCGCTGACCCGGGGCCCGAAATCAAGAAGATGTGTAACGAAGAAGCCAACCTACTGTTTCCACAGCGCGAAGTTCTGCACCTGCATTCGAAGCCGTCAATCAGCGAGGCGCTGAAGCCACCCTTCCATCACTTCGACGAGTACGAACTGCAGGAGGTGCGCGTGATCGTCATCGACCTGATGGCCGGGTCAGTAACATACAAGATCAATGCGCGCCGCGGAGAAGAGACATACCGGGGCACCGGGTCGACGACATGGAGCCAGGGGAGTGATGGAGAGTGGCGGATTGTGGTGCATCAGGAGACGTTAATGTGATGAGATGAGATCCATTGGGATTCAGATGCAGGGGGCGATATGAGAAGTGGCAGTGACAGTAGGGGATGGATGGATTGAACGAATCATGATTTGTTTTGATGCAGTCTGCTGATGAATATTCTTTTTCTTGTTACATTATTTTATTGATTTTTTTTTCGTTGGACCCTGCGTTTCCATTCAGGGGTTGAATATCCCTTTGTATTGATTGTGATTGCGTGGATGTGTGAATGTGGCTGGCTGACATCAGACGGACAACGGAGTTTGAATCAGACAAGACTCTGACATTAATGTCCACGCAGATCATCATCATCCATTAATCAATAGCATAACACCACATAACATAGTTCCCATTATCAGACGATAGTACTTCATTCCCTCGTTACCCAAAGAAAAGCAACCACAACAAAACATAAGACAACTCAACAAAAGGAAATAGAACCAAAAGAAGAAAAGAAATATAAGAAGATCGACAAAGTTCACAACCATAAGGCTACCCAACCCACCCCAGTGGGACCAATAGTAACTGCATCATTATTGGCCCTAGTTTCATCGCGGTAACAGCAAAGTGGAGCTTAGCAGCATGTTTTCTTCTGTAGGGCGAGGGTGGCAGTGTGCAGATTGCAGCTGAGCACGCACCAATTTTTTTGCACTGCACGGCGACTCCGTGTTCATGCATGCAGTAGCTAGCTAGCTAGTTAGCAACTTAGTAGTTAGTTAGATGGTTAATCATTCTTTTGCTTTCTTATTCTTGCTTACTACTACTACTACTACTGGAATAAGATGCCTGAGACCACTTACCATCTTTGGTAAGGATCTGTCGATCAGCATGTGTTCTGTCAGGGTCTAGAATGCTTCCCTTCTTATGCTGCTTTGCTCACTGAGAATACAATTGTTAAGTCCATTAAGGTTTGCAGAGTGAAACACACCACGTACCAAATACTACTTAAGATCTGATCTGACGTGAGGAGTAACCAAGTAAGCATAAGGCAACCAAATTATATTATATTACATTATA